TCAGGTCTCGTGAGAACTCACTGTCACGACGAGAACAGCATGGGGAAACCACCCCATGATCCAGTCACCTCCCACCAGGTCCCTTCCTCAACACCTGGGGATTACAATTCAAGATGAGCTTTGGGTGGTGACACAAAGCCTAACCATATCACATTAGAATGGTGAGAAAGAGAGCTAGGTGTGGTGGCTCATGCCTGTAATCCCAGCACTTTGGGAGGCCGAGGCAGGCGGATCACTTGGGGCTAGGAGTTCGAGACAAGCATGGCCAACATGGCAAACCCCCGTCTGTACTAAAAATACAAAAATTAGCTGGGCATGGTGGTGTACACCTGTAATCCCAGGTACTTGGGAGGCTGAGGCATGAGAATTGCTTAAACTTAGGAGGCAGAGGGTGCAGTGAGCCATGATTGTGCTTCTGCACTCCAGCCTGGGTGACAGAGCAAGACACTGTCTCAAAAAAAAAAAAAAAGATAAAGAGGTGGACAAAGCCATGGCCAGGTCTCAGGGTCATTATCCTGTACCCTGCCCTGCCCTTGAGCTGAGAATGGCGCTGAGCAGGGGCTCTTGGCAGTCTTTAGGAGTCTTGCCTCATAGAGCTTTGGCTCCAAACAGAACACCACTGTGACTCGAGGGAATGAGACCTCGGTGAGTGACAGCATGAAGGACAATCCTCGTATGCAGTACTATGCCAGCATCTACGCCCTCTCCATGGCAGTCATGCTGATCCTGAAAGCCATTCGAGGAGTTGTCTTTGTCAAGGTACGCAGTGGTGGGTGGTGTCTGCCCTCCTCCCTGGTGACCTGTGGTCAGGCTTCGGTGTGGCATCACTCAATTCATGCTGAGTAGGGGAGCTCCCTTAAGCAGGATGGCCCTGGCTGAGATGACTCATACTCCATTAGCCTTTGCCTTTTCTCACTTGCCACCCGTCCCTCCTGACCCCTCGCACCTCCCCGCTTTGGGAGAGGATGTGCTGTGGAGCGGTTCTCTGGACCAGTAGGAACAGAGCCGTCCTGGGCCCTGACCACTCTGTGCTCTGCTCCTCAGGGCACACTGCGAGCTTCCTCCCGGCTGCATGATGAGCTTTTCCGAAGGATCCTTCGAAGCCCTATGAAGTTTTTTGACACAACCCCCACAGGGAGGATTCTCAACAGGTTTTCCAAAGACATGGATGAAGGTATTTCTCACTGAGCCTTTTTTTTAATGCTCTGGAGCTCACTGTGCTTCCAGCCTTCTAGATGATTCTCCAAATGTGCAGATCTGTCTGTCTGTAGATCCTGAGAGCACGGTAGCTGCTGGTGTTTTCACCAGGAACATTGCATCTGCGTTTTCTGTCTTGTTTGACCTGAAAACAAATTCAATGGTTTGAGTTAGCAGAAAGGCTTTGGACAGACGCATCTGAGATTCTGAAACGTGCACAGATGTTAAAGCAATGCATTGGTTTCTGGATGTCTACAACCTGGCAGGTTTTCTGGCTGTTGTATGGGCTGTGCCTGCACCAGAACTGAAATACTGTACCCTCACAGTTCAGAGTAACAGTAAAGCCCCTGACATTGATGGAGGGCTTCCTATGCAGCAAGCAGCGTGCTCAGTGTTTTATGCATGTTATCTTAATCCCTGCAGCAGCCCTGTCTAGTGGGTGTTGTTTCACTCCTTGAATACATGAGAAAGCTGCTATCTGGAAAGGTCAAGGAACTGGCCCAAGATCTACAGCTATTGAGTAACAAAGCTGGAAATTGAGCCCAGATCTTTTGACCCCAAAGCTAATGTTTTTAATTGCTGCACTATAGCTGCCTTCATAGAAGGAGTGTGTTTCAGGCATTGATAGGCCATTGTAAACCCATGGCCAGAGGTAACAAGGAATCAGAACTATCCCTGATATTTGAACTGATGCATAACATGTTCCCATTTCTGCTAAACACACATATGCGTGCTCACACATGAATGGAAAAAAGAAAAAAAGTAAATAATAGCAGCATATCTGGGATTTGCATGAAAATACTTCAGCCAAAAGAAAAAAGGGGGTGTGGTGGGGAGATAGCCAAAAAGAGATGAAAGTTGATTAACTGTTGAAGGGTCTGTGCTCTTCCTTTAACTTCTGTGTATCTTTAAAAATTTTGCAAGACAAAAAATGTCTTAAATGTTAATGGCAGTTCATTGGTATTGGTAAGAATATAGTTTTTGTTTTCTTCTTCACATATTTATATTCCAAATTTTTAAAACAAGCATATGTTACTTTGTAAAGGGGTAAAATGTTTAAAGCCATGGGGCAGGAAGCGAACCAAGAAAAAGGAGTAGAGTAAGAGGATTTTCTTGAGACCAAAAAAAAAAAAAAATCAGAGCATCCAGGTTTCTAAATTTTTCTTTGATCAGACAGTTTAAAGACAACACAAACTTCAGATGGAGATTTTGTGGAACCTCTCTTTGTTTTTTTTCCATTTTCAGTTCCATTTTTCCAAACTGTCTGACACTTGCTGCTTTATTGGTTTCTGCAGTTGATGTGCGGCTGCCGTTCCAGGCTGAGATGTTCATCCAGAACGTTATCCTGGTGTTCTTCTGCGTGGGAATGATCGCAGGAGTCTTCCCGTGGTTCCTTGTGGCAGTGGGGCCCCTCGTCATCCTCTTTTCAGTCCTGCACATTGTCTCCAGGTAAATAGGAAGCATTCATGTCTGCTGGGGTCACGGAGAAGCCTGAGTTGCTGGGCAGCTGCTGTGACACAGAGCTCATTCTCTCTCCAGGGTCCTGATTCGGGAGCTAAAGCGTCTGGACAATATCACGCAGTCACCTTTCCTCTCCCACATCACGTCCAGCATACAGGGCCTTGCCACCATCCACGCCTACAATAAAGGGCAGGAATTTCTGCACAGGTTTGTCCTGATGGGGGCTAGAGGCCTCAAAAGGGAGTCAGCATCCCAGCATTTGATACATGTCTGGGAGGCTCTTCAAGGCCAGAGATGGGGATTATAAAGCTCATTACCAAGGGTATTCATGATTTAATGGAATAATCTCTGATTAAAATCCAGTTGTTTGGTGGGACTCCTTTCTGAGCTAGTGAGAAAACGAAAATACAGATTTGGGCCGCGTGTGGTATCACGTGCCTATAGTCAGCTACTCAGGAGGCTGACGCTGGAGGATGGCTTGAGCCCAGGTGTTCAAGTCCAGCCTGGGCAATATAGTGGACCCCATCCCAAAACAAAATACAAAGAAAAAACCCCACAGATTAGGAGTCTATTGGCCTTTGGTCCTGAAAAGCTATATTTCATAGAGTTTTGCTTTTTCTTTTAAGTAGTAAAAGGTAGTCATTGACATTTGAGTAGATTTTATTTAAGCATAGAGTATTGTTTATTTGTGAAACTTACATACATTTCATTGTGGAGCTTTCTATTAATAAGAGATTGGAACTAACTTAAATGTTCTTCAATATAAGACAGGTTGAATAAGCTATGATATATCCAGAGTACTATGTGGCCCTTAAAAAGAATGAGGCAGCTCTATAGGTACTGATAGGGAATGAATATCAGACTGGTTACAGTGACTCACGCCTGTAATCCCAGCACTTTGGGAGGCTGAGGTTGGTGGATCACCTGAGGTCGGGAGTTTGAGACCAGCCTGGCCAACATGGTGGAACCTTGTCTTTACCAAAAATACGAAAAAATTAACCAGGCATGGTGGCAGGCGCCTGTAATCCCAGCTCCTTGGGAGGCTGAGGCAGGAGAATCACTTGAATCTGGGAGGCAGAGGTTTCAGTGAGACCAGACATCGCCACTGCACTCCAGCCTGGGCGCCAAGAGCGAGACTCTGTCTCAAAAAAATAAAAATAAAAATTAAGAATATCTCTGAAAGGATTTTAAAAAACCTGTTAGTTGCCACTGGAAGGGAGAACTGGGTAGCTGGAAGATGGGAAGGAGACAGACATGACTTTTCATGATAAACCTTTTGTAACTTTTAAATTTTCTATTCTGTATATATGTCGCCTATTGCAAAAGTTAGGTAACTATTTTTAGAGAGAAAATTTAGCAAGTTTAGAAAAAAATATTTTCAAAATGTTAAATGACTCAGAAAAATAATTCCTAAACTTTAAGCGGAAAGGAAAGTGAAATGTACTAAATACATACATGTGTATATACCTACACACAGTAAATGTAAGTGCATTGAAAAAAACTGCTGGGAGGAAATGCAGCAGAATATCAACTCTGGTTTTAACAAGGTGATGAGATTATTGGAATTTTACATCTTCCTATTTTTATTGCATTTTCTAAATTTTCTCTAAAGATTACACATTTTATTGGAAAGAGGAAAAGTGATTTTTCAAAGCAAAGCACATCTGCGCAGTAGAACTTCCTGCTCTGGAGTTCTAGTTGTACATGGTGCACTGAGCCTTCAGAGGGGTCTGGTCTGCTCTCTGGGACCCCTACTGATGGCCGTGCCATGCTCCTTCAGTAGCAGTCAAGGTTGCCTGAGTCCCTTTTGCTGTGGTTTAGCTCGCTTCTCCTGGTGCTTGGCCCCACAGCTGGGGAACAAGTGCCATTCTGCACAGTGGCAGTGTGTGCACACACACTTACAGTGTTCCCATATTCCCTCTGAGTTTCTTTTCCCTGGTCTTGAACCATTTCTGCTGTTGGCGTTTGTAACCTTTCTTTCTTTCAGAAAATGCCCTCTCACCTAAGACATTTTTCTAAACTGTGACACAAGCCTCTTTATTCAGTCTTTTCCCATGCTTACTCTGTGCTGAGGTAGATGTTTTTCCCTAACATCTTTAATAGGTTTTTTTTTTTAAAGAGTCACTAAGATTAGAAAAACTTAATGTCCTCCTGTGCATGTGGCCCAGAATACCTCCAGAATTCCTAGAGTACCCTCCTTGAGTTTCCAGGGCATTCTCTCAGTTAGCAACAGGACGTATGTAAACATGTGCCCTCCATCCTGTGATCACTGAAGCTTTGACCGTGTGCGGGGTTGTGTGGTACTTTCTTTGCTCATTAGGTGTTGTCTTTCTCACAGGTACCAGGAGCTGCTGGATGACAACCAGGCTCCTTTTTTCTTGTTTACGTGTGCGATGCGGTGGCTGGCTGTGCGGCTGGACCTCATCAGCATCGCCCTCATCACCACCACGGGGCTGATGATCGTTCTCATGCATGGGCAGATTCCCCCAGCCTATGCGGGTCTCGCCATCTCTTATGCTGTCCAGGTCAGTCTCTGGGATAGGAGCGTCATCTTTGCTTGTTTGAGTCCTTCCTGTGCTGACGTAAAAGAGGCATGATTGGTGGAGGCTCCACCCTGAGCCGTTATTTCACCTCTGGACCCCTAGAGTTGCTTGTGGTCTGATTTAACAGTAACAATCTGGATTTGACTGGGGCAGGTAGGGATAGGAGAGAGGTAAGTGTGGAATCCAGGAATAAAGGAATTGAACTCTGTTGCATGTGTGTAAGAAATAGTTGCTATTTTCTTCAAAAAGAAATATGATCTTGAAAATAGTTTCTTACTTGTGGGTTTCTATGTTCACCACCATTTTCATCTCTGGCCTCTTTCTAGTTTTCTAAGAAATATTATAGACTCAATGTGCTTCTTATATGCATTTTCTTTTCAGGGACCTGATTTTCCCAATACTGTTATATACATAAGCCCTTCTGGCCCCTAGGGATGATTGAGGGTCTTCAAATAGCTCAGAGAATAGTTGAGAACTTGAGCACTGACTAGATATTTTAAGATGTTGAGTAATTATTATTACTCTCTAATGATACTGGAATTGTGTTTTTAAGGAGTCTATATTTTAGAGAGGTACAAGCTGAAATATTTGTGGATGAAATAAGCTATCTGCGATTTGCTTCCAAATAATATGGGGGGTGGGGGTAGGAATGGAAGGGAATACAGATGAAACAATATTGGCTGTAAGTTGATCATTTTTACAGTAGAGTTTTGATACCTGGGAGTTCATTATACTACTCTTTCTACTCTTGTGTGTTTGACATTTTTCTGTGTCGAAAAGATAAAAATAAGTAAGTAGTAAAAGGAACCCCAGAGGTATATGTCTTCACAGATACCCCAAGATGTCCAGCCACATTTTGCAATTTATTTGACAATTGGTTGGGGAAGACAGTGCGTTATATAGACTGTTTTTAGACTCCCCAGTCTGTGGAGCACGGGGGCTCCAGATTCACTCATTTGCCAGCATTATGTATCTGATTTGACTTTCCTGGAAGCATTCTTACTAGTTGCTCATAGGCTGATATCTCCATTTGTTGTGACTCCCACAAACGGGCTCAGATACAAGTAGGAAGTCTGGAAGTGAATCAGCTGCAGATATGTGTTACCGGAAATGTAAAGATGAATAGAAAGCCTTTGGGTACAAGAAAGTGGTTCCAGCAGCACCATAATACTGCCCGCATTCACTGAGCATTGCAGTTGATGGGGTAACAGGTATGTCTTCAAAGCTAAGAGAACGACTAGGTCCCTAAGACCAGCTGCTGCAGGTGCTCAGTTCTTAGTGATCCTATAGATGAAGGAAGTTCTCCAGCATTGGCCTGGCACGTATTGAAAATGAATTATCTCTTTGATTGTTGTTTTCCATTATCAGTTAACGGGGCTGTTCCAGTTTACGGTCAGACTGGCATCCGAGACAGAAGCTCGATTCACCTCGGTGGAGAGGATCAATCACTACATTAAGGTCAGAGTCAGACTGCTGTAGGCCTTTTACCGTGATCTGACTCCTCCTGGAGTCGGTTTACCCTTTGCTACCTCAGCTGGGTGTACAAGGAGGAGGCTTGTGTTCTCTGCTTATCTAATCCCGCAGAATCTCCAGCAGTCTCTCCACCGTGCTTGGAATAGGGAAGATATTACCGTAAGAGTTTCTAAGTATATTTGTAATTTATGTTGAGTTGAGAACTTCGTTGGCTAATTTCCAGAACGTTCAGAATCTTGTCAGTTCAGCTTAACTGACTAATGGAGCATTTTCCTTGCACTGTTTAAAACCATGTATTGTTTTAATTCTTACTGTAGTCCAATTGTTCTTAATCAGGATGGCCATCAGGATCCCTGAGCTTTTGACAGGACAAACGTGGCCTCAACTCTGGATTCTGTTGCAGTGAATTGGGGTAGGACCCAGGCTTCTTTTTTTTTTTTTGAGACGGAGTCTTGCTCTGTCACCCAGGCTGGAGTGCAGTGGCCGGATCTCAGCTCACTGCAAGCTCCTCCTCTCGGGTTTACGCCATTCTCCTGCCTCAGCCTCCCGAGTAGCTGGGACTACAGGCATCCGCCACTTTGCCCGGCTAGTTTTTTGTATTTTTTAGTAGAGACGGGGTTTCACCGTGTTAGCCAGGATGGTCTCGATCTCCTGACCTCATGATCCGCCCGTCTCGGCCTCCCAAAGTGCTGGGATTACAGGCTTGAGCCACCGCGCCCGGCCGGACCCAGGCTTCTATAGTTTGAAAAACTCTAGCTAATTCTAAACTGCTCTCCCAGCTTACAAACAAGTAAATTTAATTGATACTGAGAGTATCCAGCTCTTCCCACTTTTCCCCAGGAATCCCTTCTGTCTCGCCGTAGGTGGCAGGCATCTTGCTGCTGTCCTAATTGGAACTCTTAAAGCAATTTCCTACAGGGGTGTCTTAGTCCATTTCACACTGCTATCAAGAACTACCTGAGACTGGGTAATTTATGAAGGAAAGAGGTTTAAGTCACTCACAGTTCCGCAGGCTTAACAGGAAGCATGGCTGGGAGGCCTCAGGAAACTTACAATCATAGCGAAACGTGAAGGGGAAACAAGCATATCTTCCCATGGCAAAGCAGGAGAGAGAGAGAGAGAGAAGGTGGAAGTGCTACACACTTTCAAACAACCAGATCTCCTGAGAACTCATTATCATGAGAATAGCAAGGGGGAAATCCGCCCCCCCCATTCAGTCATCTGCCACCAGGCCCCTCCCCTGACACATGAGGATATTATACAATTCAAGATGAGATTTAGGTGGGGACACAGAGCCAAACCATATCAAGGGGTGTCCAATCATTTGGCTTCCCAGGGTCACACTGGAAGAAGGCTTGTCTTAGGCCACACATAAAATAATACTGATGATAGCTGATGAGCTTAAAAAAAAAAATTGCAAAAAAAGTCTCATAATGTGTTAAGAAAGTTTACACATTTGTGTTAGGCCACATTCAAAGATGTCCTGGGCTACATGTAGCCCAAGGGCTGCAGACTAGACAAATTTGCTTATAAAGAAGCAGCATTGTAAGTAGTTAGATTCTCAAATTGAACTCAATTCTTAAGAGTTATCTATTTTATTGAACTGCTGTGAGACTTTACAAGCATCTGTGTCATTGTTTATATGTGAAGAGTATATTCTGAGTTCCCAACACTTGACTTTGAAACCTAGTTTTGAAAAATTAACTTTTTTCTTTTTTTCCTTTTTTTTTTTTTTTTTTTTGAGAGAGGGTCTTATTTTGTCGCTCAGGCTTGAGTGCAGTGGCGTGAATACGGCTCAGTCCAGCCTCTATCTCCCAGACTCAAGTGATCCTCCCACCTCAGCCCCCTAAGTAGCTGGGACTACAGGCATGCACTGCTAGGCCCAGCTCATTTTTGTATTTTTTGTAGAGATGGGTTTCGCCACGTTGCCCAGGCTGGTCTCAAACTCCTGGGCTCAAGCGATCTGCCTCTGCCTCCACCTCCCAAAATGCTGGGATTATAGACAGGAGCCATAGTGTCTGGCCTGAAAAGTTACTCTTTCACTTGGGAACTGAGTGTATGTAAACTGAATTTTCTAATAGAGATGTGTTTCACTGATTTGCTTTGACAGTGAACCTCCTTAGTGGTGGAATATTTCTTAAGCTTACAAATGAGTAACTTTCTTATTCTCAGAAAGGATGGCAGGTGGCTGCCCAGTGTATCTAGTAATAGCTCTTCTTTAATATTTAGAAATTAGCCTCTTTGCACACTGTCGTGGTATGTAGATGACCCGTGTATGTACATATGTGCAGTGTTTGAGTTAAATGTTATGGTTGGTGAGAGCCTCATGCTGGAGAGGTCAGGATTACGGTCAGTGGTGGTACAAAGTGGACTCTGCTGGAAACCGGTCACATTTCAGAGGCCTGCCCTCCCACTGACTGTCCCAACACTGAGTCCTTCCAGCTTGGAGTTTTGGACTTCAGGCTTAAGCCCCCAGAGTGCTACAGTCTTTGACCCTTACTTCCCCCGTAAGGCTATATACTCCATGGACAATTGCCAGAGAGTTTTAAAAGATCATGAAATACGATTGTTGATGACAAAAATTACCCAAGCAGTTATATCACAGCATTTTGAGCTGGAATAGATTCTCAAGATCATCTAATCCAGTCGCCACAATTTGCAGATAAGAAACTAAGATGCAGGAGAAGTGGTGATCTGTCCAAGTCACACAGTGGCAAAATTAGAATTAGAGTCTGTGTCTCCTGGATTGACCAAGATGTGCCAGAATGCCAGGATCCAATTAGATGTTCAGTAAATATTAGTTTTCTTCCACCGGATTTAAGCCAATGGTTATCAAATGGTAGAATCCTATATCAAAGAATTTCAGTAAAAACTGCTATGGTGGAGTGGCGGAAGGCCTCGTGTCTGCCTGTGTCGGTTTTCCCTTGGCCCCCAAGGCAGCTTTGTAGAAGAATTCCTTGAGACAAAAGGTAGTCCAAACACCACTTCCCTCCCCAGGCTGCCGTTAGTAGCCATAACACTTAGTAGCCATTGTGCTCTGTCTCTGTCTGGTTTAGTGATAATAAGCATTTACTGCCAAGGGATTCTTTCCTAGCAAGGTGACAGGGTGGCAGCTACCTCGGTGTGGCTACTATGGTTGTCCTGGTTTTATTTCTCTGTGACAAAGCCTGCAGCTTCCCAAGAATCTGTGGTCAGTCTGAACTGGCCACTCCTGTCTCCCCAGACTCTCTCCTTGGAAGCACCTGCCAGAATTAAGAACAAGGCTCCCTCCCCTGACTGGCCCCA